GCAAAACAACTCCTTAGATTCCCTGGGATCCATTGGGATGGGTAGCCAGAGGGGGAGGCTGCAGGAACTTCTGTTGCTGAAGCACCCGATGTGCAACACACCATCCAGGTGACAGCTTTGGCAGCAGTCACAACACTTTGAAGTTCTTCACATTAATGGAACTTGGATCATTTAAGAGCCTTTTCCCCTCTTTTTTCCCCTTTTTTTTTTTCCCCCAGAGAGACGAACTCAAACCCTGGGTTGTAAGGGAAGTTGGTCATTCACAGACCACATTAGGAAGCTTCAAGAATACCATGATACCTCCAAATATTTAACAGTTAGAACATATGGCAATAATCTGTGGGATTAATATTGTTTTCACTTCTTCTCTTGAGCGTCTTCCCTTTGACAAGAAGATTCAATAAACCCTAAACTCTGAACCCAGTCACTATTCTCCAAACTCGACGATACCGAATGACAAGTGCTCTGTGGCCAATCCCAAATGGATTCACACCTGGAATTCTACCAATGCCTTCAGCATTCCTCTCTCAGAACCGGAATTTCAGACCAGGGTGGGGCTTGTTTTGTTAATCCAGGAGTTCATTCTGAAGCTGTTTCCATCCCTTGATACGGCAGAAGGAACCAGAAACATCCCAAGAGCGGCTGGAGAAAAGTCAATCGCTGCCATGGCAACCGATGTGCCAAATTACTGCTCTCCTGCAATGAGGGCTGATCACAACGATTTCCCATTCCCTTCAGGTCAGTGGGCTTGGTAATGCTGGGACAACCACAAGATCCAACAGTAAAACCCTTTGTCAGACTATGGCTGGTTTGACTGTTCCCTCTCCATCCCCCAGCCCATCGCTGTGCAGTAGCACAGAGGTTGGAGCAGGATCTTGCTGGCTGAAATTCTGTGGGTATTTTTGCCTCACTGCCTGTATTTTCACCAGGAAACATCAGAGCACAAAGCTGGTTCCTGCATTCCCTCTGAAAGAGCTTTTTGCAACACCTGAGAGATGTTTTGTTGCGTTCAGGGGGAGCGCGTGGATCGTGTAAAACGAAAAATACACATTTTACATGGTGATAAGAAAGCAGCAGCAGCAAGCAGACAGCAACCTCAACGACTCTTCAACCAAAGGAAGAGAAAAAAGGAGTGATGAGATGAACACAAGTGCTGCTGAGATGGTAAATCACCCCTCCCTGTCTGTGGTTCCTAACTCAATCAGGGCTGGAAACAGATGCCTGCCAGCCTAATGTGGAACAAGCAAACAGCCCCTGACCAGACACTCAACATTTGTGTCCCAAAATTTCTGAAGGAGGAGTTAATCAAATTAAAAGATAATGTCATAACACACTTAGCCTTTGGAACACGGCGCCAAGGTAATAAATCACACAAAATGCAACTGCAAACATTAATCTGAGGCAAAGGGCCGTTACCTGAAAGCACCATCCATCTCTGACCATTGCCAAGAGGTTTCCTGAGTACTTAGAAGTCAAAACATGTTTTAGCCACCATGAGTAACAAAAAGCAGCTCAAAGGAAGATGCCCTCGTGACCACAACTAAGGGACTGGGGGTGGTGAAGTGGGGGAAAAACCTACACACTACATTGAGTCACCAGAACCACTGCAGAGGAGGTTTAAAAGTTGAACAATGGAGGGTTGAAGGTCTACAACTGCTACTGTTCCACCTTCTCCCCCTTGAAGAGCAGTGATGGCTGTGGGGGTGTCATCCCAAGGGTCCCACTACCTTTGGAAGGCTGACAAGAAGGAAAACACAAAGACCTTTGCTGAGCAGTGTCTGCAGGATCAGGAGAGACAAGGAGGGAGGGTGGATCAGAAACTTTTCAGATCCTCTCAATAAAGTCTCCATTAAGTTACTGAGTCACAGAGGGGTTTGGGTTGGAAGGGACCTGAAAGATCATCCAGTGCCACCCCCTGCCATGGGCAGGGACACCTTCCACTAGCCCAGGTTGCTCCAAGCCCTGTCCAACCTGGCCTTGGACACTTCCAGGGATCCAGGGGCAGCCACAGCTTCTCTGGGCAACCTGTGCCAGGGCCTCCCCACCCTCACAGGGTAGAAACAAGGAACCAATTCCTTCTCCTCCACTGACACTCCAAGGCAGAAAGTGCTGGATTGAACTCTGAACAAGCACTGCAATCAGAAGAACATTTACAGAAATATAATTCTGCTACGAATGGGTTTCTCAAAGCCGTGAAACGGCTTTTTTGTCATCATGTGAGATGCAACAACTATAAAATGTGAGCCAATTTCTGCTTTCACCTGAAAAGATTTAATTAATTTTTAGCCACCTACACTCCTTCCTCCAAACAACAAATGTAATTTAAAAAAAAAAAAAAAAAAAGATCATAGCAAGCTTAAAACTTCACCACATCCTTGCTATTAAAACTTCCCTCAAAAGACACTCAGCACCTTGATGTTCTTTCTTTTTCCTCGAAGTTGGAACACCGGGAGCGTGTCACCCCACACACACTGACTCACCCTGGAGATGTCACAACCAATCCTCCCCCCAGGAGCACGAGAGGCCACTGGTGGCACCCTGGTTGCTCAGGAAACCACCTCCCTGGAATGTGCTGAAATTTGCCTGAAGCCTTAAAATAAACATTTTGGGACTGAGCAAAAACTTCACCTCTCGGCATCTCCAATTGAAACTGTCATTCCTGGGTGCAGAGCAGATAATGTTCTCTTTTCTTTGCTAGTTAGGGTTTTAAACTGCCTTTAAGCATATAATTAATTACATTTCTTGTCAGGGATCACGTTACAAACCACTCCACCTCCACTCCATTGCCAGGCAGACCTTCAGCCTGATTTTCTTCCTTCTTTCAGCTCACACCATCATTCCTGGAGATGCTCAGGATTTAGCCCTGTGTGCTAATTAATCCTTCACAGGACACACATGTTTTAAAAGAGGGTTAGAGGAAGCCTAACACTGAAGAAAGGAGCTGTATTTCCCTGGAAAACTGACTGCAGGCAGTGCCTGAAGCTTTGCCATGGTCCAGGGTAGGACTCAGCCCCTCTTCCTCCACCTTCCCATCAGGAGCTGGGCCCTACACCCAGACTCAAAGTCCTTTGGTCCCTACAAGTTGTCCACATCTTTGTTCTTTCTTTTCTTCTTTACACAAGGATCCCCCCCAGCCACCTGCTTCCCTCCAAGGTCTCATCTCCTGAGCTCCTTCAATCCAGCCTTCCAGCCCAGCAAAACCTCCAGCCCTCACGTTACTGCCACTCTCCCAGCAGGATCCATAGATCCAGGCACCTTCCATAGATCCAGGCACCTTCCTTCCATGAACAGCTTCAGACACCCCCAACAGACTCCTCCCTATTCCAAGTACACCAACAAGGCCCTTGGGGACGTGGTTTAGTGGTGCCCTTGGCACAGTTGGGTTTATGGTTGGACTTGATGATTTTAAAGGTCTTTTCCAAGATAAATAGTTCCTTGACTCCACTGTGACAACCCCCCTGCTGTCACTTTTCCCCCTTCCTTCCTTTAACGACACTTCCAGGTAGTACAAAACTCCACTTTTCCTTTCAGATCACTCCACTATCAGCAAGAGGAAATCAAACAGCAAAAAAAGACATTAAAGGAATTGCAGATCCCACTGCCAGAGCCCAGCCCTGGGCTTGGCAGGAGTCCTGCCCTTCAAAGCTGGGGCAGAGGGAGACACACGTGCAGGCACGGGAATGTGGAATTGATGCTTTTCAAGCCAAACTCACAATTCCATTCTAATTCTCTGTGGATGCAATCATAATAAGTTTATAATTATTAACAATTATAAACATGAGAGAGGAAGCCATTCAGTCAGGAAAAAAAGGGCTGCAACAGCACAATTTTAATTGTAATTCACGGTGACTGAAAAAGGAGCAGCACTTTTCAAGGCAACTGTGGCCTCAAAGGAGGCACTGCCAAGCACAGGGACTGTCTTTTTATTTCCTAAGACAACTCCTCTTTCAGACACAATACATTAAAGCAAGCCCACATTCAAAATTTGGACACCATTCAATTAATCCCTCCAATTTTGGGTGCTCCAGAAGCTCTTCCACAAGTTCACCAGCCACGGAAATAAACCCCCTGATTCCACAGAGCCATTTATTAGCATGACCTTGGCTACTGTAGCTGCAGATTTCAGAGGCACATGTCCCACATTTACACACCATTTCAACACATCCAAAGCCTGCAGTGAGCACGGATCCCCTCGGCTCCTAACGAGGGAAAGCCAGGGCAGGGAAGTGCAGGATTCACCACAAAACCCACCCAAACACTTGCTGCTGCTGTTGCTGCTTTCCAGCCTCCTCCCAGTGCCTCCAGCCCTCCCCAGGCTGCCCAACTTCCAAGTTAGGAAGAAATTTGGGAAATGAGGCCAGGATTCCAGACACTCACTCACACATCTGCTGGCTCTGCCTGGGCTCGGGGGGGATTTCGGCAGCGCCCGCCCGAGCCCACGGATGAGAACGGGGTCAAGCCAGGAAGGGACATGACCCACTTCTATTTATGTTTCAACCAGAGGCCTCGAGCAAGATGAACACTTTTCAGAGCAACTACTACAGGATGCATAAATCAAACAGTGTTTCTTTAAAAATAAAATATTGGTTAAAAAAAAAACCCCCCCCCCCCCCCCCCCCCCCCCCGATTTTCCTGGTGCAGGTTACAAGGTCCCACGGTTTTGGTTTTTTAGCTGATTTAATGATATTTTTGAAATGCGGTTTTATTGCAGCCTCTCTGCAGAGCAGCATTAAAAATTAAATTTAAAGCAGTGCATTCACTGGCTTGTTTTTATCCTCTCTAAATTATTCCGAGGGGAGAGCGGCCACACGCAGGACTGAGAGAAACAAACGTAAAATGGGCAACAATTCCAAATTATTCCTTAGTCAAGTTTCCAAGCCAGTGAAACTGGGGTTGGGGGAGGTCCAATCAACCACCTGGGCAAAGTGATATTTTAAAAATCCTTCTGGCTGGAATTGCCTGTTCTCCCTGTTCCCGCAGAGCCTTCGCAAGGGGCTTACCAGGGCAGAAAGCATCAACGTCCAGCTTCTGGGCTGCAGAGAGGGTTGGGGAGCCAAGCTCAGACTCTGGGATTCGAGGGCTCTCCACAAACTTTGCTTTCCTCAAAGGGGCTAAAGGAGAAGGAGGGGGAGAGAGAAAGAGAGGTCATGAGTAAGGGAAATAGCAAGCAACAGATGGAAGCACTTAACTAAACGACACTGTCAGACTCATATCAGGTTACTCTTTTTTTTTTTTTTTGCCAGGAAAAAAAAAAATTATCTGCATTCTTTACAAAGGAGATGGCTCTTGGTTAAACTTTCAATCTGCACAGGCTGACTTGAAAGTGTGTGAGCACCGAGGCACATTCCTGATACTCTAAAACTTCCTTTTCTCCTACTTTATTAATTTGTTTTTTATAGGAAGCAAACGAGCAGCTGTGGAAAAGCAAAGATCATAGAGAGGTACACAGAGCTCATCAGGGTTTAAGATACTTAACTCTAAATATCTGAACTGGACACACAAACGCTGTGTTCAGTAATTGTTTCCTCTGACGTAAAATTTCAATTTCAAAAGATTCTCAGTGTTGGAGCAAACAGGTTCGGTGTTCAACACAAAAGAGCAGAGCAAAGCTAATGGTGCCCAAGACCAAAAACAAGCAGTTCACTTTTATCCTTGCAAATCTAGAGGAGATCAAGAGACTTAATAAAGAACAGGGAAAAGGTAAAAAGTGTCTGTCACAAAGCAGTGCTGACCACTAGTACTAGAAAAATGGGATTTTCCACATGTTTTAACAGCCTGAACTCTAAAAGACATGAAATTCTGCACAACATTTGTCTGGAATAAAATTAACTAAAATAGAAGTGGTTTAGTAGAAGTCTTTAAACATAATCCTGCCAGACCAGAGAAACAGAACTAGAGAATAAGTTCTATGCAGAGATTATTGTATTGCATTTCCATGTTAAACTCTCGTGCCCATTACAGTGAAAGGCTGATTTGAAAAACCACTCAGCAGCAGTTCCGGGGGTCAGCACCTCCTGCCCCTCCATTTACATAAATTATATTTATAGTTCCCTGGCCCACAAATTAAATTTGGGCTCTGAAACTAAAGATGGGGGGGGGGTTGTTCTTGTGCATCTCCTGCAATAAAAGCTCAACGGGGCAGGGAATGACCTCAGAGGCAGCGATAAATCTGGGTTTTTTAGGGAAAGGCTGAGGCAGGTCCAGGGTGGGGAACCAGACAGACAACACACAACCAACCCTCTAACTGGGCTGTACATCCACGATCCCAGGAATCTTTAAACAAGGGGTGTGGAAAACAGAGGTAAAGGTTGGGGTGTGGTTTTCCAATAGAGTCCCTGTGGAGCAGAATAAAGGCAAGGAATCAACACCCCCCTCTCTCCACCGAAAGAGGTGCTAAAAACCCCTCTGACTCTCTTCCTTCCCCCTCCTGATCCATCCCAGGAGACCTGGAGAGGGCAAACAGGTGCCACGCTGTCACTGTGAAGGAAACCCTGGATGAGGGTGAGGGATTTCCAGCACATTCCCTGGGAGCCCACGGGGGCCAGTGGAACAGGAGCTGTGCCAGGCAGGAGGAATGGGAGAGACCCAGGGAGAAAAGGGCAGCCTGGAGCCCCCTCCTGCCCCCATCCCACTGCATGTGCAGCCCCTTCACACAAACTACCCGATGCCAACTTCTGTGCAAACCCCCTCAAAAAATCCCACATGTGCACACACAACACCCCACCAGCTGCAAACCGGCCTGGACCAGTGAAAAATCATTCACAGTAAGGACTTGTGCCAAATCCTGATGCAATGAAAACACTTAAATATCAAGATCGTTCCCACAGCCTGAAAATTGTTTAGAATAATAACCCTGCAGTGGCCAATCCTGTAATATTTCATTTGTAATTGCAATTTTAATAAATATGGTTGTTTCAAATGTTTTACCAGCCTACCCCCCCCCCCCCAGTAACAGTCATTTTTATAACATATATTAGAAATAGCCCATCTTTCCTTTCTTTATCATTCCTGGCTGACCCCAGGACCACAGATCATCCCATGCCCACGTGGCTGTGCTCTGGAACACAGAACTAACAGAGTTTTCACAGTTCTACAGATGCCAATGACTGTGATGGGACTGTCACCAGAAGGCTCTGCACTACAGTTTATTGCAAAAACAGAGGAAGAAGAATTTTAATAAACAAAGAGAGGGGGATGGTGCCACTACACACAAATCCAGAAAGTGCAGGACCTGCACCTTTTGACAGATCCAGCACTGAACAGGTTGGCTCCCCCCTGTAAGGGATCAGTCAGTGTCCCATCTCAGTGTGGGTTTTATTTCTGCATCTCCTCTGGATCTCCTGAGGAGCCCCTCACCCCATCAATTCCTGCCTTCTCCACAGCACTGACTGATGACAGCACAAGTGAGCAGCTCGAGGATTCAACAAGCTGATGGAGCTTCGAGGGCAACAAAGAACTTCGTATCATCCGTGAGGTGGATCCTCACTGCACTGCAAGTTCAGGCACACACATCATTTTACTGGGTTTCAGAGAATGGGTTGGGTTGGGAGGACCTTAAAGACCACCCAGTTCCACCACCCACACCTTCCACCAGACCAGGGTGCTCCAAGCCCCATCCAACCTGGCCTTGCACCTATTTTGTGTTTTTATTCCCTAAAAAGCATGACTTGAGCCTTAAAAACATGTTTCCACCAGCCAAGACACACCTTGTAAACATGACTCACACACAAGAGTTTGCTTTAAAAGGCTCAAGTCAATTCAATCCTCTCTGTGCAGCTGCAGGTTGGGAAAAGCCACAGAGCAAAAAGTCTCTGTTACTTCAAATATCCTGAACCTGTAAAAGACAAAAACTCCTCCTAAGTCACATGTAACCTGATTACAGGAAAGGAGGATTTTCACATGCAAGAATTAAGCCCCCCCTGACTCATGTCCAAGTGAAGATTATCCTGACAGATTCAGATTTGGGGAATTTAGTCTTCTACTGGAATAAACAACAAATGGAAACGTCATGAACTCAGAAATCTGCTTTGACACTCTTCAGCCAAATGTTAATTGATCTCTTTATGAAAAAGTGACTTTTTAGGCCCAACTGTTTGCCTTGGTCCTGAACACCCTCCTGTGAGCACAGGCCAGTTTCACCATCAAAGTCATGGGACAAGCACTTCGCACAAACTATAAAAACCAACAAAAGCATGAAACAATCATTTGAAGTGCTCTGTACCTGCTCAGTCCCTTTGGCCTCTTATTCCTGCAGGATTTTCCTGTATGGAACAAACCAACTCCAGGCCTTAAACAGCATCAAAATAGCCCTTTCCTGTTACACAACTGCAGGTTTTTGAGCAGAGAACATTATGTCTTCCAAAAACACTGGGGAAAAAAGGGTCTGTGCAACAGCCAGTTATAAAAATGTCAGGGATTAAGGGAAGGTGGCAGTCGCTGCCTTTCCAGAACTGCAAAATGAGCCTTTAACTCAGAAAAACATATGGATTCCACGGAGCCTGAAGTCCCAACCTCGTCCCTGGGGTGCCACCACCCGTCACCAACGACAGCCCAGGAGCTGATGGGCACAGCCCGGGCTCTGTGTCCACCCAGGGACCCCTCCTGTGCCCAGGGCTCGGTGACAAACACCAGGCTGGCATCAGATGGGAACTGACTTGTGGTACCAGTGTAGGAACTCGGATTCCAGGGGCTGAGAAGTTATTTCAAACCATTACTGCCCATTTTTTGAGTGAGTTCCGCAGTTTTTAGTGAGATTAATCCCCATCAGTGGCGGAGTCAGCAGAGCAGAACTGAAAATCCTTCTGCCAGTGCAAATAAAATTCTCATTTCACTTTGCCAGCGACTCTTCCCGAGCAAGGAAAGCGATGCTAATTCCAGGGTAGGAATTAAGCACATAATGCAACACAATTAGCGGGGCTGGAAGTCAGAAAGTTTAATTAGCTGCTCGTTTATGGCACTTTCTGCAGCAGGTCTTGTGTCTTCCAGGGGGGACAAGGATTCCTCCCTGGGAGGGTGGGGAGGCCCTGGCACAGGTTGCCCAGAGAAGCTGTGGCTGCCCCTGGATCCCTGGAAGTGTCCAAGGCCAGGATGGACAGGGCTTGGAGCAACCTGGGCTGGTGGAAGGTGTCCCTGCCCATGGCAGGGGGTGGCACTGGATGATCTTTAACATTCCTTCCAACCCAAACCATCCTGGGATTCTGTACTAAACTAACACTGGGGAAAGTATTTCCATACCAGCTGCAGTGGCAGCAGCCTGGCTTTTGAAGAGCCTCCTTAAACCCAGAGATTATTTGGAAAGTTCTGTTTCCACCTGGCAAACACAAACCATCAGCCCCATCCCTCAAACCTTCATACCCACACCAGTGGCTGCTGAGGCTCCTTTTCCAAGGCTGGATGAGCAGTTTGGAGAGCTCTGTGGCCCCTCCAACATGGAAAACACTTCAAATCCAGGGATCTGCTGATGGTTTATCCTTTTGAACATCTGCTTGGAGCGCTGGGATCAATTCAGTGCTGTTTGTGATCAATGCCAAGCATCTACTGCCACATCAAACCAACCCTAAATAAAATCAGGATGTGCTTATTCTCTCTGAATAATCATTTTATCTCTAGTAGCACCGAGTTCTCCTTCAGCCCATTGAGCTCCCTAATTCTATTGCATTTTCTCTGACACCATTTCATTGTCACATAATTTATAGATGAGTTAGTATTTTAATTAGAAAAAGGCTTTTCTTTAGATTAAAAGGCGCTGATAAAAGGAAATTATCGTGGATTAGAAAAAGGCTTCAGCTCTGAAATTCAGTTTGAGCTCTGGCAGCAATGTTTCACTAACAAGGGGTTATTAACACCTAATGAATTGATTGAACAAGACTTTATTTTGGCAGATCTGAATTCATACCGTGCTTTGACTACAATATATACACACACCTACATCTTTTTTCTATGCTTACACCCATAAAGATACACATAAATTTATCTATGGCCAAGGAAGATGCTGGAGAAAGCAACTCTTTTCCCATCACATGGATGATGGATTGATCCATCCCAGGGTTCCTGGAAGCCTCTCCATTCACCAGCTCCTTACATGCATTAGGAAAATGTCCATTACTGCCCA